CGAATTTTATAACTAAGTAGTAGCACACGATAGCTGCCTGATGTAAATATTATTAAAAACATTAGCGCAGGTGGATAAATAACGAATTTTATAACTTAGTAGAAGCGCACGGTAGAATAGCGCACGGTACCTGCCTTAGATAAATATAATTTAAAAATCTGGACGGGCGGGTTAATAACGAATTATATAACTAAGTAGTAGCGCCTAATACCTGGCTACTGTAAATATTATTATAAACATTAGCGCGGGTGGATAAATAACGAATTTTATAACTTAGTAGTAGCGCACGCTAGAATAGCGCATGGTAGCTGCCTTAGATAAATATAATTTTAAAAATCTGGACAGGCAGGTTAATAACGAATTATATAACTAAGTAGTAGCGCACAATACCTGGCTAATGTAAATATTATTAAAAAACAAATGTAAACGTTACAGAAAAACAATGCATTTGTTAAAGATTTTTTATCCTTCAAATAGGTTCTCAAAGTTTGATGCCGTATTCCAAAAAAATTCTCATTGATGGCACGTTCCGTACAGTACCAAACATCAAAGGAGCTTATCAATTTGTTACTATAATGGTGAAAGTAATTAATGGAAATCTACGTAAGGTAGGTGTATACTTCTGCACAGACATGGCAAGCAAAATTTAGCGATTCACTTATATATTTATTCCTGTACATACATGAACTATTCCATGTGTAATGTTAATTTTTCTTTCCCACACATCCACAAACTCAAGAAAATTCGTTAATATACGCGATCCAAACAATCCCGTTTTTGTAGATAGTTGGTGCAATCGTAAAAGTAGCCGTACCTGTTTTATTGATTGAAATAAAACATAATCTCACGCCTTTTCTTTTCACGCATAGCAGCTTTGAGCTTTATCAAAGCTTTAATTAAAAAACGGTAAGTCAAAAATGTCACTTTAATCGAATTTTATGGCTACTTTTACAGTCGCACCAACAACCGTCGAGATCGAGATTTTTTCATAACTTCAGCGAAAACTTGTGACAAAACGTATATTTTCCAAAAAACTAAAATTTAATTAGAATTTTATTATAATTCCTTCATTGTGAGTTTGAATAAAGTTTGTGATTTTTTCAGAAATCAATCGGGACGGATTTTGTGAGTCTTAAGCCTTAACTAAAATGAGCTGTATTTTTTCACGGAGTCAACATTTTCAAGTAAATTTATTAGTACTTACATAAAATCCTATTTCAAGCACTTTAAGAATATTTTTATGGAATTGTAATGAGTAAAAAAAACTTTATAAACAAAAGTGTTCACCCTCTCTTCTATTAGTTAAAGTTTTTCGTACTTGTGCATAAATTTTTTGAAAAAGCTAAAAAAGAAAGTTAGTCTTTCTCAACTTTTTCCGTATAAACGAATTTTCTCGTGTTTGTAGACGTGTGGGGAAGAAAAAAACCGTCTATCATAGGTAGGCCTTTGATTTCACCTTGTCTAAAAAGTGGGGAATTCTGAATGCACATTCAACGTGAAATTGCTCACATACGAAAGTGATTCTCTGAAATAGCTCTTTGTTACATGAAGCTGAAACTAGCCGTAAGGAAAAGTAGCCTCACCAGAGACGAATCAGGCCTCAAGAGCCATGGACTAAAATGTTTTTTCTTTTTTGATTAACTTAGCTAAAAAATCATTGGAAATTCAATATCCCTAGTACTTCTGTACGTTTTTATAACAAACAAAAGTTGCAAGACTTGAAAAACACAGTTTTCCGTAGATACGTACATACACGCATACGTAAAACGTATAAAAATTTGGGTTGGAAATTTTTTACTTTTTTTTAAGCTCTTGTGCTACGTTAGAATGCATAGCGCACGATAGCTGAATAATGTAAATATAAAAATTAAGGCAGGCTGGTTAATGAATACTTTTATAACTAAGTAGTAGCGCACGATACAATAGCGCACGATAGCTGGCTAGTGTAAATATAAATTTTAGGACAGGCCCGTTAAAAATGAATTTTATAACTAAGTAGTAGCGCACGCTAGAATAGCGCACGATAGCTGGCTAATGTAAATATAAATATCAGGGCAGAACGGTTAAAAACGAATTTTATAACTAAGTAGTAGCACACGATAGCTGCCTGATGTAAATATTATTAAAAACATTAGCGCAGGTGGATAAATAACGAATTTTATAACTTAGTAGAAGCGCACGGTAGAATAGCGCACGGTACCTGCCTTAGATAAATATAATTTAAAAATCTGGACGGGCGGGTTAATAACGAATTATATAACTAAGTAGTAGCGCCTAATACCTGGCTACTGTAAATATTATTATAAACATTAGCGCGGGTGGATAAATAACGAATTTTATAACTTAGTAGTAGCGCACGCTAGAATAGCGCATGGTAGCTGCCTTAGATAAATATAATTTTAAAAATCTGGACAGGCAGGTTAATAACGAATTATATAACTAAGTAGTAGCGCCTAATACCTGGCTACTGTAAATATTATTATAAACATTAGCGCGGGTGGATAAATAACGAATTTTATAACTTAGTAGTAGCGCACGCTAGAATAGCGCATGGTAGCTGCCTTAGATAAATATAATTTTAAAAATCTGGACAGGCAGGTTAATAACGAATTATATAACTAAGTAGTAGCGCCTAATACCTGGCTACTGTAAATATTATTATAAACATTAGCGCGGGTGGATAAATAACGAATTTTATAACTTAGTAGTAGCGCACGCTAGAATAGCGCATGGTAGCTGCCTTAGATAAATATAATTTTAAAAATCTGGACAGGCAGGTTAATAACGAATTATATAACTAAGTAGTAGCGCCTAATACCTGGCTACTGTAAATATTATTATAAACATTAGCGCGGGTGGATAAATAACGAATTTTATAACTTAGTAGTAGCGCACGCTAGAATAGCGCATGGTAGCTGCCTTAGATAAATATAATTTTAAAAATCTGGACAGGCAGGTTAATAACGAATTATATAACTAAGTAGTAGCGCCTAATACCTGGCTACTGTAAATATTATTATAAACATTAGCGCGGGTGGATAAATAACGAATTTTATAACTTAGTAGTAGCGCACGCTAGAATAGCGCATGGTAGCTGCCTTAGATAAATATAATTTTAAAAATCTGGACAGGCAGGTTAATAACGAATTATATAACTAAGTAGTAGCGCCTAATACCTGGCTACTGTAAATATTATTATAAACATTAGCGCGGGTGGATAAATAACGAATTTTATAACTTAGTAGTAGCGCACGCTAGAATAGCGCATGGTAGCTGCCTTAGATAAATATAATTTTAAAAATCTGGACAGGCAGGTTAATAACGAATTATATAACTAAGTAGTAGCGCCTAATACCTGGCTACTGTAAATATTATTATAAACATTAGCGCGGGTGGATAAATAACGAATTTTATAACTTAGTAGTAGCGCACGCTAGAATAGCGCATGGTAGCTGCCTTAGATAAATATAATTTTAAAAATCTGGACAGGCAGGTTAATAACGAATTATATAACTAAGTAGTAGCGCCTAATACCTGGCTACTGTAAATATTATTATAAACATTAGCGCGGGTGGATAAATAACGAATTTTATAACTTAGTAGTAGCGCACGCTAGAATAGCGCATGGTAGCTGCCTTAGATAAATATAATTTTAAAAATCTGGACAGGCAGGTTAATAACGAATTATATAACTAAGTAGTAGCGCCTAATACCTGGCTACTGTAAATATTATTATAAACATTAGCGCGGGTGGATAAATAACGAATTTTATAACTTAGTAGTAGCGCACGCTAGAATAGCGCATGGTAGCTGCCTTAGATAAATATAATTTTAAAAATCTGGACAGGCAGGTTAATAACGAATTATATAACTAAGTAGTAGCGCCTAATACCTGGCTACTGTAAATATTATTATAAACATTAGCGCGGGTGGATAAATAACGAATTTTATAACTTAGTAGTAGCGCACGCTAGAATAGCGCATGGTAGCTGCCTTAGATAAATATAATTTTAAAAATCTGGACAGGCAGGTTAATAACGAATTATATAACTAAGTAGTAGCGCCTAATACCTGGCTACTGTAAATATTATTATAAACATTAGCGCGGNTTACATTTTAATTATTATTTATTTTTATCATTTATACAAATAAGTATTGCATGGATGTTTGAAGGGTGTGATGGCTGAATGGTAACTGCGGATAGCCTTGCATATGTACAACTAATCAAAATACTGTGTGTGATCTACTAAATAAAGGCAATTTCAATATATGCCATGCTAATTCTTTAAGTATAATGTATCTTGCATCTATACCATTATTAGTTTTGGGCACTTAAATTCCTAAAAACTTGAAAAAATACCACTTTTTTAGCGATAGTTTTTCATTTGCTTTTGCTAAAATAATCTTTCACAAGGTACAGACGTTGCTACTATGGAAAAAACTTTTTGGAAACACTATAAGTGTGGATATTCGTATTTCATAGATTCCCATGCTTTAAACGGATTAGGGTTTTGTATTTTACTAAGAGCTGGGCGTGATAAGTACTGCCTTAATTGTATTGGANCTTATAGTTACATAGCCATTTCTATCGAAATGGATCAGGTAGTATACATGAGAATATTACATAATGAGATCCATTTAGGTATTATACACTAGTATATATACATATCCAGTTATATGAGATAAGATATCGATTGAATTACAATAATTATATTATTGGTATAGAAAATAATTTATAAAGCTTAGCAAAATGTCTTATTTGCTATTTAGGAGGGTATTAAATTAAATATTTTTATCTATACTATCGATAAAATTAGCTAGTATTGGGATTGTTTGTTCGTCTAAATTGGCTAGTAAATTTTTTATGGAAAATGGACCATTTTTACCGATTTTATAAAACTTATTTAACATTTTGGTCCTTTCATTTTTGTATATATCACATTGCCAAAAAATATGTTCTAAGTTATCGGAATCTTTGTCACATTCGCATCTATCAGAGTTTACAATATTAAATCTATGTAAGTCACAGTTAAGAGCGGTATGATCACTTCTACTTCTATTTATCGATACAATTGTTTTACGCGAAATACAATGACCATGAAACCATGGTTTGGACCGAGGTTTATGATAAAACTTAAAATAATTGGTGCCTTTTGTTTGAAACATGGACAACAAGCTGGATTCGTTCTCTTTAAAACATTGTTCGCGAAATCTACTTTTGAGATCGGTGGCAGGGATCGCCAGATTTGCAGGAGGTCCCTCAATTGCTGCTGATTTAGCTACCTTATCAACTGCCTCATTTCCTTTTATTCCTATGTGAGCTGGAATCCAGAATAATTGAAATCTTCTGCCGAGACTCTGCGCTTCTGCGAGTTTCTTTTTAAGAATTAGTATTAGTGGAGATTCATATTTGAAGCCTTTGAGTTTATTAAGGGCCTTGAGTACACTGAGTGAATCAGTAAATATCTTAAATGAGTTGTTGCCGTTGGCAATAACAAAGTCTAAAGCTTTAGAAAGTCCTAAACATTCTGCCGAAAAGATTGAGGCATCGCCAGGAATATTGTAAGAGCATGTTAGATTATCATCGTAGGACCAGGTTCCGAAGCCAGCTTTGGGGGATTCATTAATGTTTGTTTTGGAACCATCTGTAAAAATGAAGTTACAGTTATCATTGTGGTCGAATATGTTGCTGAATTCTAAGTTGGGATCTACTGCAGAACGAATTTTTTGACCAGTTGTAAGATCGGAAGTGTAAGTAAAAAAATTAAGAGAGAAAGGTATAGTGAATTTAAGGAATACACTTGTTTGTATAATGAGATCTTCTAGATGCCAAATGTTTTCATAACAGTTTACAATTAGGGGCTTTTGGTGATTATGGGAGTATAGATTATGTTCCGATACAGAAAATAGTTCTTCTATACTTTTAAGGGTCGTATTTTCTTTGTTGGAGATAAGTTTGAGTAAAAATGAGTGGGCTAAATATTTTAGTCTATGCTTCAGTAGAGGAATTTTGGACTCTGCAGTGAGAACACTTATCGGGGTACTTTTCCGGTAGCCCATGGCCAACCTAATAGCCTGATTTTGGACTCTTTGTAGTTTATTGAAATGATTGTCGGAGCATGGTGAAATNATAGGCACTATTGTCTCTGTTCAAATGACCTGGATCTGTTGTTGTGAGAATCCTCTTCTTTGGCGTATTCGAACTTGTGGATTGTGGGCTCGTTTCCTGGCTTAGGTTGGTAGCAGAAGCTTGCTTAACCGTGCTACTGTATGATTTGTTAGGCTCTGTTGTACCATAAATCTTTTTAAGGGCTTTTTCTCTTAGCATTGGGAATTCATTTGCGTTTGGTCTAAACTCTCCAAACCTTTTCTTGACTTGACGTCTGGCATCACTGTAGGGTAGGTTGTCAAAGGCCATTATGGTTTGGATGGCCTTTTGATCTTTGTACTCTTTACAAACTTGTAGATCTGTACATTTATGCGGAGCTTTGCAGTGTGGACACCACGGAGTAGTTCCAACACATGCCTGACCTTCGTGTTTTTCTTTGCTACACATAATGCAGGCCTCTTTACCTTTACAATGAGCACTGGTATGGCCATAGCGTAGACATTTATAGCAAAGTATGGGATTCCTTACGTAGGGGGTAACTCTTGTGGATAATCCAAAAATGAACACTCTGCTGGGTAGGAATTGACCTTCGAAGAAAAGCTGGATAGTTTCACTAGGCACCCATCGATCTTTATCTTCTTTGGCCAGCTTGTTTTTCCTTTTTAATCTTCTGACTTCTATTACTTTTGTTTCACTCTGGATATGTTTTAGGATAAGGTCTTCACTCAAGTCTGTCGGTATGCCTCTAATGAGACCCTTTCTTGATTGTCTGTATATAGGAATGAAGGCTTCCAGATCATGTTGTTTCAGGACACTGTCAGATAGGAGGTTATTTGCTGCCTCTCTGTCATCGAACAAAACTTCAACTTGACCAATGTTCTTCTTACTTATGTCGGTGAACTTATTTTTGTACTTATTGTATAGGATACTTGCAACTGTGTATTCGTTGAGTACTGGGCTACCGGTATGTGTACTGGTGTATTTGATCCAGACTCCATATGGTCCTTCATTGGACAGTTGAAACACTGTTCGGTTCTTGTCGATAGTTGTTTGCACCCCTGATAAAGATTCTTCCTTGTCATCCTTGATCATTTTGGGATTCTTTTGGATGCAGTTTTTGTCTAGCTTTTCTGCATCAAAATTTTTCCTTTTTTTGTTGTTCTCACCATTATTGAATGGAAGGGATTTATCACTATTTTCTTGTATGCTCCAATCCATAGTATGCTCTGGGGGCATGTCAGCAGCGAAACCCTCGCTCCTGAGACCCCATTCAGAGTCATTTTCCATCGTATCAGCACCACCCGTTACCGGGGGTGGATACCAGAGCATGAAACTGCAGTTGAGGTTATGTAGCACTTGCTTTGGAGATGATTAATTGCCCTCAGCCTAAACTGTCTGGGGTGAAGATGATACCAGGGTAGGCCTAAGCCACCCTGGAAGCACAAATAAAAAATAGCACTAAATAAAAACTCTTTACTCAGTCAAAAAAGAAAAAAAAGGCCCACGAGGTCACTCTCGCATCTCCAGTTTTCTTGTTTCACATAAAATGTCAAAAAAAAAAAAAATTCTTTTTTTGTCTCCAAACTGTGGCGTCATCTGGCGATGAAATGGGGTACTACATACATTCAATATCCTCGAACAAGGAACTGATGTATAATAAATAATTACACGATAATATTTAATAACGCATTGAACAATGGTTACTATCCAGAAACGTGGAAATTGGCTAAACTAATAATTCTAAAAAAAAAACAAAGTGAACCGATAACCATAGAAAACATAAGACCAATTAGTATGCTACCAGCCATAAGTAAAATATTCGAAAGAATAATAAATAATTCGATCTAAAAAATAGTAAAGGAAAAAAATCTAATCCCAGATGCACAATTTGGATTTAAAAATAAACACTCCACTACACATGCAATAAACAAACTGCTAGCGGACATTAACTGGCATCTTAACAAAAAAGAAGTAGTAGGCGCTTGTCTAATAGATTTAAAAAAAGCGTTTGACTCAGTCTGGCTAGAAGGACTTATATTCAAGTTAATAAAAAGCAAATTTCCTACTTATATGTTAAAACTAATAAAAAACATGATAAATAAAAGAAGTTTCAAAGTAAATATTAATAACAACACATCACAAAAAACATTCATCATAACTAAAGGACTACAACAGGGCACAATTAACTCACCCTTACTATTCAATATCTTTAATGCAAGTGTACTTAATATCTTCGGCATAAACAAAGAAAATAACCTCTACGGCATAGCATTTGCAGACGATCTGATCATTTATTCCGCGGACAAAAGCGTGAAAAAAGTAAACGAAACGATCCAAGATAAATACAATAAAATAAAAACTTTTTACAACAATTGGCTTCTAGATACTAATGCGAAAAAATGCGAAACGATACTATTTAGGGATAAACTAATGGGCGCCTCAGATTCAATAAAAAAGAATTGGAAAAACTTCAAAATAAAAGATCAAATAGACAATGTATTTATCCCACATAAAAGAATAGTGAAATACCTTGGTATTCACTTAGATGACAGACTTCACTTCGCAAACCATGTAAACATTCAAATCGAAAGAGCAAAGGTAGTATTCCAATCGCTTCACAAACTCTTTTACTCACCATATTTATGCAATAGAGCCAAAATAATCTCCTACCAATGTATCATACGACCAATCTTGACTTATTCATGCCCAAGTTGGTTTAACATCAGCGCAAGCATAATGGAGAAGCTAAGATTTTTCGAAAGAAAATGCCTGCGTGTCAGCTTAAAAGCATACAGAACTGCAAAAAGTAACTATACAAAAAGAATTAGTAATAAAGGACTATATGAAATGGCAAAAATACCGAGAATCGATGTATTTATAATAAAACTAATAAGAAACCATATAAAAGAAGCCATAACGAACAAAAATGGCCTATACTAGCCATCTATACTACCCCAGTGACCTATACCATCAAAATGTGATGAGGACAGGCTTTGTCCCGCCTACTTCCTTCTTATACCTAAATGTAAACAATTATATAATAAATAAAGACTATATACCTATCCTATATCACACACATAGACATAACAACAACAAAAAAATACTGTATGACCCAAATAATATTAATAAAAGAAACTTAAGTTACTCAACGAACATCTCCAAAATAGATATAGATATTTTGAAAAACTTTAATTATTATAAGAATGAAAACTAAAAAAAAAAAAAAAAAAAAAATAAAAAAAAAAAAAAAAAAA